AGATAGGATTGCGGCATATCGCTGGACCCAGCATGTAGATGATATGACCCTGTATTCTTGCATTGGGGTGCTCCCACAGAGGGCATTGTGACATATCAGTAGTCCCTGTACCCAGGTAATAAATTTATCTTTTCTTTCTTTCTTTCTTTCTTTTTTTGAGACGGAGTTTTGCTCTTGTTACCCAGGCTGGAGTGCAATGGCGCGATCTCAGCTCACGGCAACCTCCGCCTCCTGGGTTCAGGCAATTCTCCTGCCTCAGCCTTCTGAGTAGCTGAGATTACAGGCACACGCCACCATGCCCAGCTAATTTTTTGTATTTTTAGTAGAGACGTGGTTTCACCATGTTGACCAGGATGGTCTCGATCTCTTGACCTTGTGATCCTCCCGCCCCGCCTCCCAAAGTGCTGGGATTACAGGCATGAGCCACCGTGCCCGGCCTGTGTTTATTTTTTCTGTGCCACATGGTCTATTGTAACATATTGCTGGGTCTAACAACCAGGTGATATGAATCTCCTACTTAGACCCTGGCTACAGGAGACATTTTGCCATATTTCTGGACCCATCATTTTTTTTTTTTTTTTTTTTTTTTTTTTGAGATGGAGTCTTGCTCTGTCACCTAGGCTGAAGTGCAGTGGGGCAATCTTGGCTCACTGTAGCTTCTGCTTCCCAGGTTCAAGCAGTTCTCCTGCCTCAGCCTCCTAGGTAGCTGGGATTACAGACATGTGCCACCACGCCCAGCTAATTTTTGTATTTTTAGTAGAGACAGGTTTTCACCATGTTGGTCAGGCTGGTCTCGAACTTCTGACCTCAGGTGATCCACCTGCCTTGGCCTCCCAAAGTGTTGGGATTACAGGCATGAGCCACCACGCCTGGCCAATCCATCATCTATTTTATGTTACTCTCCACTTTTACATGGGGTTTTCCCTAGGAGACATTGTAATGTATCTGGGCCAAGCACCTAGGTGATGTTACTCTTCTCTTCTGCCTGGGCCCTGACCACAGAAGAGGGGATGACTTATCACTAGGCCCAGCACAAATGTGATCCCTGTCCAGAGAGGACATTGTATACATTTGCCTGCACTGATAAACTAGATGATGTGACTCTCCTTTTGTCTCTGAGACTTGTCCACAGTTGGAATTATGACATATCACCTGTCTCAGGACCTATATAATGTGGTTTTTGTTCCATGCCTCAGTCCTGCCCACTGGGGTGATCATGACATATAACTAGGCCCAATTCCTAGGTTATGTGACTCTTCTCTTCTTCACTTGGGGCATTTTGACATATTTCTGGAGCCTTCTCTTAGATGATGTGACTTTGCTGCATGGGCCCCTTCTTTTCAGAAAGTATTGGGCCATATTTTTGAGCTAGTAACAAGATGATGTGACCCTTGTCTTCTGCTTGGTTTTTGCCCGAGGAGAGATTGTGATTTATCACTGGGCCCAGTACCTTGTTGGCATGACTCTCCTCTCCTACTCTAGGTTTCAGGTAGAAAAGGAGAATCACATCACTTAGAGGAGAAACAGAAAGATATGTCATAATTCTGTTAGTAGGACCCATGTAGGAAAGTCACATCACCTAGTTGTTGCACCCAACCATTTTTTTTAAATATACACAATTTTCAGTATGTACAATACACGGTTCACTAACACCGAGGGAAAACAAATTGTATATATTAAAATATGGCTGGTCCAACACCTAGGTGATGTGACTCTCTTGCATGAGCCCTGCTAATAGAGGAATTATGACTTATCTTTTTGTTTATCACCTAAGTGATGTAACTCTGCTTACTGCAACCTCCGCCTTCTGGGGTCAAGCGATTCTCCTGCCTCAGCCTCCCAAGTAGCTGGGATTACAGGCACGCACTACCATGACTGGCTGATTTTTTGTAACTTTAGTAGAGACAGTGTTTCACCATGTTGACCAGGCGGGTCTCGAACTCCTGACCTCGTGATCCACCTGCCTCGGCCTCCGAAAGTGCTTGGATTACAGGCGTGAGCCACTGTGCCCAGCTGTAACTCTTCTTTTCTACCTGAACCGTATAAAAGGGGATGATTGTGACATATCACTGTACTCTACAGCTAGGTGATACCACCACTCTTCTCTTTAACCTGGGCCTCTTGTGTTGTGGGTATTTTGACATATCGCTGGGTCAAACCAAATGGGTGAAAAGCTCTTGCCTGGGCCTTGTCTATAGGAATCCTTGTGACATATCTGTACATCCATTACTTTGGAGGTATGACTCTCTTCTTCCATCTGCACTGTGCCCACAGGAAGATTGTGATGCACATCTGGGTTCAGCAGCCAGGTGCTGTGTCTCTTGTGCCCAGGCCTTGCCTGCAGAGAATTGTGATGTAGCTGGTCCCAGTATCCAAGTAATGTGATTGTTGTCTGCTCCTTGCTTGCTTTTTTTTTTTTTTTTTTAATGTTTTTGTTGTTTCTTTTTTTATTTTATTTTATTTTTTCTGCGCCTTGCTTTCGCCCAGCTCACAGTTGTGATAATGATCCTCATTCCACAAACCAGTCAGTAGCTGAGATACTGGTGCTTGTAGCTAGACTTAGAGAAATGGGTAAAGTCCTGGGTCTTCTCTAGGGAAGAACATCATAAAGGATTACCATTCCTTTACATTTTGTATATAGTCTTTGGACAGTACAGAGAGTGTTATGATAGGGCCAAGAACACAGGTGAGACTGTGTTTCTCATATCCAGAACCTACCAAATATTAACACTGACACCCTCACACATAGACAGAGCACACTGGGAGATCCTGAATTTCACATGTGAATGGAGTCCACAGTGAAAATTGTGACTGTCATATGTAATCACGTGACAGCAGTTAAGATGGTGACTCATTTCTAAACCCAGCTCATAGACAGGTGAGGGCTCTTTTCTCCAGACCCAGACAATTGGAAAGATGTTGACTTTAATACATGAGCTTAGATCCACAGGTATGATTATGAGTTTGTATTAGAAAAAAAGCCTTGGCCGGAAAGTCTTGACCAGGCACGGTGGCTCATGCCTGTAATCCCAGCACTTTGGGAGGCCTAGATGGGTAGATCTCCTGAGGTCAGGAGTTTGAGACCAGCCTGGCCAATATGGTGAAACCTCATCTCTAATAAAAATCCAAAAATTAGGGGGACTGGTGGTGTGCGCCTGTAGTCCCAGCTACTTGGGAGGCTGAGGCACGAGAATCTCATGAACCCAGGAGGCAGAGGTTGCCGTGAGCTGAGACTGCACCATTGCACTACAGCCTGGGCAACAAGAACAAAACTCTGTCTCCACAAAGACAAAGTCTCAGAACAAATTGTGACTGTCATGCCTATTGTATAAAGCACTCAGGTGGTATGTGCCTATTGTTTAAAGCACTCAGGGCCTAGCACACAGGTGACATTATGACACTCATGCAAACCCAGCCAACAGTAAAAAATTGTCAGCTTTTCACATGAACACAGCTCACTGTCGAAGTTCTGACTCTCACATCTGGGTGAGATGTGAGATAGCCAAAAGTGGGAAAATTGACCCTCGTGTGGATTGGGTTCACATGTGGGTTGGTGACACTCAGACCAAGATTCAGCATGCCTGTGAGGCTGTGAGTCCATTAAGGGGACACAGTCTGCAGCAATGATTGAGGCTCCCATGCATGTTTCTAATCCACCTTTGAGACTGACTCTTGTGTACTTAGACTGAACATAGAAAATGTATTGACTCTAATACTTAGAAATAGAACATGTGGGATTTTTAAGTTCATTCCTACATTTTTTGCAACTGTGATTGTGATATACCCCTTTGCCCAGCCCTGAGTGATTTGACTCTCCTGCCTGGTACCTAGCCTACAGATTGGATTGTGACACATTGCTGAATCCAACACCTTGGTGGTGTGACTCTGTATTTTTGCCTCAGCACTGCCCACTGTGGAGCATTGTGACATCGCTAAGCTCCACACCCTGGTTATGTGACTGTTCTGCTTGTGTCCTGCCTTCATGGGCCATTGTGACATATTGCTATGTGCAACATCCAGGTGATACAACTTGTTCGGTGGGATCCTGCCTGCAGGAAGCATTATAATCTATCTGTGCACCCATCATCCAGGTAATGAGACTTTCTTCAGACAGAGTCTCACTCTGTTGCCCAGGCTGGAGTGCAGTGGTGCAATCTTGGCTCACTGCAGTCTCCGCCTCCCGGGTTCAAGCTATTCTCATGTCTCAGCCTCCTGAGTAGCTGGGATTACAGGCAGCTGCCACCACATCTGGCTAATATTTGTATTTTAGTAGAGAGGGGGTTTTGTCATGTTGGTCAGGTTGGCCTCAAACTCCTGACCTCAGGTGACCCACCCGCCTCGGCCTCCCAAATTGCTGCAATTGCAGGACTAATCCACCATGCCTGGCCCATGTGACTCTCTTTCTACTAGGTTCTGGCTCATAGAATTATTATCTATCACTGGGCCCAGCACCTAGGTGTTGAGATGCTTCTTTTCTACCTACATTCTCAGTGTAGATTTTGACATACTGCTGGGCCAAACATCAACATGATGTTACATTGTTTCATTGGCACTTTCCTCATCAGCCATTGTGACATGTTGTTCGGCTCAGAACTAAGGTAATGTGAGCCTTCGCCTGAACCCTGCCCACAGTGGGCATAGTGACATATTTGTGAACCCATCATCTATATAATGTGACTATTTTTTTTTTTTTTTGAGATGGAGTTTCACTCTTGTTGCCTAGGCTAGAGTGCAATGGTGCGATCTTGGCTCACCGCAACCTCCGCCTCTCAGGATCAAGCAATTCTTCTGCCTCAGCCTCCAGAGTATCTGGGATTACAGGCACCTACAACCATGCTCGGCTAATTTTTGTATTTTTAGTAGAGACAGGGTTTCGCCATGTTGCTCAGCCTGGTCTGAAACTCCCCACCTCAGATGATCTGAGGCCTTGGCCTCCCAAAGGGCTGGGATTACACGTGTGAGCTACCATGCCTGGCCTATAATGTGGTTTTTTTTTTCAGCCAAATAACACTCTATTTTCCTAGTTTCTTTTTTTATTTTTACATATTTTTATTCTTTATTCACACAGTCTATTGTGGGATATTTTCCTAGTTTCAATGCTTTTGTCTTTGTCCGAGAGAGGGAGGAGATTGGAAAACACCATCATCAAATTTCCTAGTAGTTGTTGAATCACGGCATCAGGTAGCTCAGGAAACTCAACCAAATTACCCTCTTCTTCCTTGATAACTTGTGCTGGTTGTCCAGGCATCATCTTCTTGAAAAAATACAAGATGTTGTTTTTGAAGCATTTCAGCATCTCGTAAGCAAGGGAAGCTGCCTTATTGAGTACATAGATTGATCATGTTTTTTATTAGAATCATCAACCTGGCAATTAAGAGTCTCATTGCAGGCTAGGCGCGGTGGCTCAAGCCTGTAATCCCAGCACTTTGGGAGGCCGAGGTGGGTGGATCACGAGGTCAAGAGATCGAGACCATCCTGGTCAACATGGTGAAACCCCATCTCTACTAAAAATACAAAAAATTAGCTGGGCATGGTGGCGCGTGCCTGTAATTCCAGCTACTCAGGAGGCTGAGGCAGGAGAATTGCCTGAACTCAGGAGGCGGAGGTTGCGGTGAACCGAGATCGCGCCATTGCACTCCAGCCTGGGTAACAAGAGCAAAACTCCGTCTCAAAAAAAAAAAAAGATTCTCGTTGCTAGTTTTGGCAAGTGTGTCATTAACTGGGATTACACGTGTGAGCTACCATGCCTGGACTATAATGTGATAGAAGCCATTTTTCTATCTCATCCATAAGAAAATGGACCACTACATCCACCAGAATTTCCATGGCCATGTTCATTACTAGTGAAGTAAATGAGCCCATGGTAACTGTGATGAGCGTTCTGTTGGTTTCAGGTGAAGTTATGTAATGGCGTAATGTGACTTTCTTACTTGGCTGTAGCCTATAGGAGAGACTGTGACATATATTTGGCCCTGGAACCTAGATAATGTGACTCTTCTTTCCTGCCGTGGCCCTGCTCTCATAAAACACAGTGACTTATCACTGGGATCAGCACAGAGGCTACATGATTCTTCTGCCTGGTTCCTCTCCACAGGGTTACTTCGACATATCTCTGGGCCCATTACTTAGACAATGTGACTCCTCTTCTTCCTGGGATGTGTTTACAGTTTGGATTGCAGCATCTCACTTAGTCCAGCACCCATGTGATGTGACTTTTCTCATGCTTTGGTCTTGTCCACTGGGGTGCTTGTGATAATGTAGCTGGGCCCAGCTCTTAGGTTATGTGATTTTTCTTTTTTCATGTTGAGCCTTACACACAGGGGGCATTGTGACATATCTCTGTTCCTTTCACCTCGATGATGTAAGTCTTCTGCCAGGGTTCTTTTCTTAGAGAGTATCATGACATTTCTGGAACCAGAACCTAGGTGATGTGACTCTTCTACTGCCTGGGTTCTGCCTAAGATGTGACTTTTTTTTTTTTTGCCTGATCTCTGCATATAGTTCATATTGTGATATATGGCTGGGTCCAACACCTAGGTAAGTCTAGGTGAGTCTCCTGCATGGGCTCTGTTCAGCAAGGTATTATGACATATTTTTTTTTTAATCACTTAAGTGTTGTGACTCTCCTTTTTTTACTAGAAACTCCTACAAAGGATAATTGTGACATATCACTGGACTCAGCACCTAGGTGTCATGACTCTCCCTTTTTCCTGAGTCTCACATTGTTTGAGTATTGTATATATTGAATCTGAGACCAACACATAGGGGATGGGAAACTCCTTTCTTGACCCTGACGAGAGAGGCTTTGTGACATATCTGCATTCATGACCTAAATATGTGACGCTTTGTTTCTGCTTGCACCCTGCTAACAGAGAAGATGGTGACAAATTGCTAAGTGCAGTGTATCTTATTCTGTGACAAGAATGCCTAACCTGGGGATGCAGACAAGTAGGGTTTACATCATTTCACGCAGCTGCTATTCAAGATTGAGTTGCTCTGGTTTGAATGCCTCCGACATTAAGATCCACTATAAAATTATGTAAAAAGTCTATTTGAATTATAGTGAATGAGAATTAAAAGAATTAGGGTGGGCTCTTCTGAAAGATGTAGTGATAGTTATATTTGTGTTTATGAGTTTTTTTAAATTAACTTTTGTTACTTTAGAATAGATATTTTGTTCTGTCTAGTTAAAACAGACACAAAAAGTCTATTTGAATTATAGTGAATGAGAATTATAAGAATTAGGGTGGGCTCTTCTGAAAGATGTAGTGATAGTTATATTTGTGTTTATGAGTTTTTTTAAATTAACCTTTGTTACTTTAGAATAGATATTTTGTTTTGTTCTGTCTAGTTTAAACAGATACACTTGATCATGAAAGGGATTTCCACTGTTAAAGGAAAATAAATCTCTTGATGCCAAAATTACCAAGTGAATAGAAAAATGAAGCTGGGAACTAAGTCTGGCAAACCTGCTTCCCATTTTATTTATAAATAAGATAGCTACAAAGATAAAAAAGCTATGTACCTCACAATTAGCCAACAAGGAAATTCCTTGAGAACAAATGACAGACCGAACTCAAAACCATTTCTCTGAGCCTTGCCTGAGATAAATGCATATCTGATTGCTTCCTCTGCACTACTGTTAATTTAGAAATGCAGATTCACTGAGCCAGAGTAAATTGTATATTCAGTTGAATGTTTATCAAGGATAAACTCAAAAGAATCCAACCTTTTGTCTCTTATTTACTTATGATCTGGAAGCCCCTACCTCAAGTTGTCCTGCTTTTCTGAATGAAATGTACATCTTACTCATATTGATTGATGCCTCATGTCTTCCCAAAATGTATAAAAGCAGCTGTGCCCTGACCACCTTGGGCACATATCATCAGGACCTCCTGACACTGTGTCATAGGTTTATTTTTAACCTTGGCAAGATAAACCTTTTAAATTGATTGAGACCTGTTTCAGATACCTTTTGGTTTACACAGCCATGGCCCTGCTAGCTGGAATATAATCCTGAGTGTAAATAGCCCAACCATAAGCCACTTGTTCAGTAGAAGTGAATCAACAGCAGGGCCTAGCATAGGTTAAAGACACATGAAGTGGGTGGCTCTCTGGGTCCTGGCTCCTAATGGAAAGGACAGTCACATAGATGTTTCTGAATGTTTGGACAGCCTGGCCTTTCCTGACCCAAATCCCCCCACCAGCTTTTTATAAAGCACACCTCTGACCAGCTCCTCTATTTTAAATAGGAGCTGGGTGAAATGAGGCTGAAACCTCCTGGGATGCATTCCCAGACAGTTAAGGTACTCTAAGTCGCAGGATGAGATAGAATACAGGTCATAAAGTCCTTGCTGATAAAACAGGTTGCAGTAAAAAAGCTGGCCAAACCCCACTAAAACCAAAATGGCAGTGAGAGTGACCTCCGGTTGTCGTTACTGCTGCGCTCTTACCGGAGCCATGACAGTTTACAAATGCCATGGCAACATCATGAAGTTACCCTGTATTGTCCGAAAAGGTGAGACATAAATAATCCACCCTTCGTTCAGCCTGCCCTCAAGAAATAACCATAAACATGAGCAACCAGCACCCCTTGGAGCTGCTCTGCCTATGGAGGAGTAACCATTCTTTTTTTTTGTTTTTTTGATGGAGTTTAGCTCTCGTTGCCCAGGCTGGAGTTCAATGGTCTGATCTCGGCTCACTGCAACCTCCACCTCCCGGGTTCAAACGATTCTCCTACCTCATCCTCCCAAGTAGCTGGAATTACATGCATGTGCCGCCATGCCTGACTAATTTTCTGTAATTTTAGTAGAGATGGGATTTTTCAATGTTGGTCAGGCTGGTCTTGAACTCCCTACCTCAGGTGATCCACCCGCCTCAGCCTCCCAAAGGGCTGGGATTACAGGCATGAGCCACCATGCCCAGCCTAGAGTAGCTAGCTATTCTTTTATTTCTTTACTTTTTCCTGAGACAAAGTCTCGCTCTGTTGCCCAGGTTGGAGTGTGGTGGTGCAGTCTCAGCTCACTGCAGCCTCTGCCTCCAGGTTCAAACGATTCTTATGCCTCAGCCTCCTGAGTAACTGGGACTACAGGCATGCACCACCACACCCAGCTAATTTTTATATTTTTAGTAGAGACTGGGTTTCTGTGACAGAATATTGTTTGCTAGGAAAAAAAAAAAAAGAGACTGGGTTTCACCATGTTGGCCAGGGTGGTCGTTTACTTTCTTTATTATTATTTTTTTTTCCTGAGATGGAGTCTTCCTCTGTCTCTCAGGCTGGAGTGCAATGGTGCGCTCTTGGCTTATCATAAATTAATTGACTCAACAAACATAAGTGCTTAAATCAAATATTTTGAAAGAAAAATAAAAAGTGTAATGCCTCTGAGGTCATGTAACTTTAATAATCTTTGGGAAATAAAAACAGCTTTAAAATTACTGATAAAAACATTTAGTCCAAATTATGCAGATCAGATGTTAAGTTTGCTAAATGCTTTAACGTCATAAATTGCTTCTTTATCTTTTAGAGCAAGTTACCTAGCTTAAGGTCATTAGATTCTAGATAAGGCCTGGAGACGTGGAATTAGCCATGTCAAAGATTATAAAGAAAGATTTTATGTAAGAAATGATCTCATATGGTAAATTCTTGTCCAAAAGTAAAATGACTAGTTGTTTAAAAGGAGGAATGTCATGGCTGGGCATGGTGGCTCATGCCTGTAATCCCAGCACTTTGGGAGGCTGAGGCAGGCGGATCATGAGGTCAGGAGTTAAGAGATCAGCCTGGCCAACATGGTGAAACCCTGTCTCTACTAAAAATACAAAAAAATTAGCTGGGGATGGTGGTACATACCTAATCCCAGTTACTCAGGAGATTGAGGCAGGAGAATTGCTTGAACCTGGGAGGTGTTGTTGCAGTCAGCCGAGATCGCACCATTGCATTCCAGCCTGGGTGACAGAGCCAGACTGTCTCAGAAAAGAGAAAAAAGGAGGAATGTTTAGGGCAGGTTAGAAAGTCAAAGAATGTCTCAGATGGTCTGGTAAGTCGTGAAAGGATTTGTGAAAGAGAATTTATGTAAGAAATATACAATTCAAAGGTTGTTACGTGTCCTAAATGCTTCATGAAATGTCACTATGACTCTTATTGTACAGCTTGCCTACTTTACTGCTAGGTAAGGCCTGGGGACATGTGGAGTTAGCCACACCCCCTTGGCTATGCTGTAGAGTCAGCTCTAATCTGCACTTGGGCCTGGTGTGTCCTAGGCTAGGCTCCACACCTAGTACACAATTAAAATTTCTAACTTGGTAGCCGGGTGTGGGTGGTGCATGCCTGTAGTCCCAGCGACTCAGGAGGCTGAGGCAGGAGAATTGCTCGAACCCTGGAGGTGGAGGTTGCATCCAGCCAAGATCGTGCCACTGCATTCCAGCCAGGCAACAGAGTGTGACTCTGTGTCAAAATGATAATAAAATAATAATAATAATAATCAAAGAAAATCTTGAGCTTGCTAAGGTTTTCACAAAAAATAAAACTTGCTAAAGTTAACATTGTAACATAATTGAAACTACTGAGGAAACAATTTTACATGGAAGGTGGGAAAAGAAAGTAAAATGTGTTTTTGGTGTGAAAGAAGTCATGAGAATGTAGATTTTTTTTTCTGCCTAGATTAAAGCATTAAATAGTTGTTTTAAGTTTAAAAAAACTAAAGGTTTAAACAAGTTGTGGAAGGTTTATCAAAATTAATTTTAAGAGATTCTGTGTGTGAACATATTGGCTAAATTAAATGGGTATACAGGTTTTCTTGAAGCATTGATCTGCTCTTTCATGCACACACACAGAACACACACACTTACAATGTAAAGGTTTATAAAAGATTTATAAGAATCTTACCTTATGGTTAAACATTAAAATTGGGCAAATATGTTTATCAGGTTTTATTACAAATTGAGTTTAACAGGACACGCGCTGTGGCTCACTCCTGCAATCCCAGCCCTTTGGGAGGCCGGGGCAGGCGGATCACCTGATGTTGGGAGTTCGAGACCAGCCTGACCAACATGGAGAAACCCTGTCTTTACTAAAAATACAAAATTAGCTGAGCATGATGGTGCAGACCTATAATCCCTACTACTCAGAAGGCTGAGGAAGGAGAATCGCTTGAACCTAAAAGGCGGAGGTTGTGGATTCCATTTATTATTTTATTAGAAGTTCTGTACCTAGGCCGGGTGAAGTGGCTCACACCTGTAATCCCAGCATTTTGGGAGGCTGAGGCAGGTGGATCACAAGGTCAGGGATTTGAGACCAGCCTGACTAACGTCTCTACTAAAAATACAAAAACTAGCTGGGTGTGGTGGCGGGAGCATGTAATCACAGCTGCTCAGGAGGCTGAGGCAGGAGAATTGTTTGAACCTGAAAGGCGGAGGTTGCAGTGAGCTGAGATCTTGCCACTGCACTCCAGCCTGGGCAACAGAGCTGACACTGTCTCAAAAAAAAAAAAGTTCTGTACCTATTTGGAAACTTGAAATTAAATTGTCTTTTCCTGAGTTTGCCCAGTGATTTTTCAAGTAATACTACATCATGGGAACACATTAGAGATTTTCTGTATTTTTATGTTTTGCATCAGTCACTAAAACAGAAATTACCTGATTCTGAACTTATTATAAAAATAGAATACTCTCCACTAAGAATATCTCATTAGCATATTGCAACTTAAAGTCAGGAAATCTAAACTTTTTCTGGTAGTATTACCTATATAATATTTAGTTACTTATTTTTTTCTCTTTTAGTATATGATTTTTAGTGTACTTTTAAAAAATATGCATAACATTTCCTTGAATTCTATTAATGGACCTCAATTTTTTTTTTCTTCTTCTTTTTTTTTGAGATGGAGTCTTGCTCTGTTGCCCAGGCTGGAGTGCAGTGGTGCGATCTTGGCTCAAGCAGTTCTCTGCCTCAGCCTCCCAAGTAGCTGGGATTACAGGCGCCCGCCACCACGCCCAGCTAATTTTTATTTTTTTAGTAGGGACAGGGTTGCACCATCTTGGCCAGACTGGTCTTGAACTCCTGACCTCGTGATCCACCCACCTCGGCCTCCCAAAGTGCTTGGGATTACAGGCGTGAGCCACTGCATCCCAAGAGATTCTGTGTGTGAACATATTGGCCAGTGCCATATATATATATATAATTTAATATTAAAAAACTGTCTGAATATGATGGTTCATGCCTGTAATCCTAGCACTTTGGGAGGCTGAGGTAGGAGGATCAATTGAGCCCTAGAGTTTGAGACCAGCCTGGGCTACATAATGAGGCTTCGTCTCTACAGTATAATAACAAATTAGCTGAATATGGTGACACATGCCAGTGGTCCCAGCTACTCAGAAGGCTGAGGTAAGTTGGTAGAGCCTAGACTCCTGAGGCTGCAGTGAGCTGCAATCATGTCACTGCACTCCAGTCTGGGGAACAGAGAGGCTCTCTCAAGAAAAAGAAAGGAAAGAAAAGAAAGAAAAAGACAGACAATAAAAAATAATAAATAGTTAATGTTTGTAATTTTTCCTGCTCAAAGGACCGGAAGCCAAGAAGGTCATAGGAGCTGAAATTTTAAAATAATTATTCTTTTCATTTTTTAGTAGCCATATAGTGTATTATTTATAAATGCATATGACCTTATACACAGATTAAAGGCAAATACCTTCTGGGGTCCGCCTGGCTCAGCTCCGGGAGGAAGCCCTGCCAGAAAACGCTGCAGCCTAGGCTGTCGCTCTCTTCATTCAGCCCAGCGTCTGATCACATATTCTGTCACTCAGGGCTTGAGGGGGCAGGACCTTAAATATTATCCAATCAGGGGCGCTGGGGTGGAAACCGTCCAATCAGGCACGCAGCTGGAGCGGACAGGGCGGCTTCCGGGATGTGGCGGGGCCTTTGTCTCTCCAGGCAACCGGAGCTCCAGGTCTTGTCTTCACTTCTCTGTTTTCTCTGCGCTTTGAGCTACGGCCTTTGTGGGCCTGTGAGCTGCAGATACTGGGAAATCCACAGCTAAGACACTAGGACCCTCTGGAAGCCTAGAAATGGTGAGAGTACCGGGTCGACCTCTGGAGAGAGGGGAAGGGCTGTGGCGGGACTCAGGATTCCCCGCAGTCAGCTCCACAGTCTGCGCCCGGAGTTCTTGCCCAGCTCGGCCTCAGTCCCCTTCAGCCATAAGATGGCGGCCGCGCTGACAGTTGGGCCCTCGGGCGTCCTGTCTGTTCCCTGCGTAGTGACTGTGCCCTGGCCTGGAGCCCTCTCTGGGCAGCTCTGCACCCGCAGCACCGCATCTCTCTCACATTGTGCAGTGACCATGGGAGGGGCGTCAGGGGAGAATCCTGACTCGGGGTGCGGGTTCATGAACGAGAAGAGCTTTGGTCCGTGGCGTTTCCAGTCCCTCTTTTCGTCTATTAGAAACTTATGAGAGTCGGCCGGGCGCTGTGACTCACGTCTGTAATCCCACCACTATGGGAGGCCGAGGCGGGCAGATCACTTGAGGTCAGGAGTTCGAGACCAGCCTGGCCAATATTGTGAATCCCGTCTCAACTGAAAATACAAAAATTATTCGGGCATGGTGGTGCGCACCTGTAGTCCCAGCTACTTAGGAGGCTGAGACAGGAGTTTAGCTTGAACCCAGGAGGCTGAGGTTGTAGTGAGCTGAGATCGTGCCATTTCCCTCCATCCTGGGCATCGCAGCGAGACTCTTGTCTCAAAAAAAAAAAGAAAATAAATTTATGAGAGTCACCACAAAAATATTAAAGAATTTAATTAAAGAGCAATTTAAGAATTGCAGAACACCCAGCTATGGTTTGTAGTTTGTGGTCCATGGGGAATGAAGGAAAGACATTTGTTTATTTGTTTAAGACGGAGTCTCCGCTCTGTCGCCCAGGCTGGAGTGCAGTGGCACGATTCTGGCTCACTGCAATCTCCCTCTTCCGGGTTCAAGCTATTCTCCTGCCTCAGCCTCCCAAGTAGCTGGGACTACAGGCACGCACCACCGCGCCCAGCATATTTTTTCTATTTTAGTAGAGATGCGGTTTCACCATGTTGCCCAGGCTGGTCTCCAATTTTTGGGCTCTGGCAGTTCACCCGCCTCGGCTTCCCAAAATGCTAGGATTGCAGGTGTGAGCCACCGCGTCCGGCCAGGAAACACTTTTATAAGGTGCAGGATGAAGAAAACCAAATTCAGTAATTCGTTAGGTATAGTTTTTTAAATTTGTACGATTAAGGTGGAAATATCCTGGTTACGTAATCAGGTAAATTGGCAGTTTTTAGTTGGTTAAGCCTGAATTTTGTTTTTCCCAGTGTAGTATTTTATAAAGTATGTATTTGACTTTTTTTTTTTTTTTTTTGACGGAGTCTCGCTCTGTCTCCCAGGCTGGAGTGCAATGGCGTGATCTCGGCTGACTGCAACCTCTACTTCCCTGGTTCAAGCGATTCTTTTGCTGTAGCCACTCGATTAGCTGGAACCATAGGCACCTACCACCACGCCTGACTAATTTATTTATTTATTTTTAAATTTTTGTTATTTATCTTTCTTTGTGACGCGGTTTCGCTCTTTTCACCCAGGCTATAGTGCAGTGGACGCGATCTCAGCTCACTGCAACCTCTGCCTCCCTGGTTCAAGAGATTCTTTTGCTTTAGCCACTTGAGTAGCTGAAACTGTAGGCACCTACTACAACGCCCAGCTTTTGTTTTGTTTTGTTTTTTTAATGTGACGGAGTTTTGCACTTTTCTCCCAGGCTGTAATGCAATGGCGCGATCTCAGCTCACTGCAACCTCTGCCTCCTGGGTTTAAGCAATTCTTCTGCCTCAGACTCTAGAGTAGCTGGGATTACAGGCATGCGCCACCGTTCCCGGCTAATTTTTGTATTTTTAATGAAGATGGGGTTTCACTATGTTAGGTTGTTCTTGAACGCCTAACCTCAAGTGATCCGCTGGCCTCTGCCTCTGAAAGTGCTGGGATTACAGGCGCGAACCACCACGCCTGGCCTAATTTTTGTATTTTTATTAGAGACTAGGTTTTTCCATGTTGGCCTGACTGATCTTGAATCCTAACCTCAGGTGATCCTCCCACCTCAGACACCATGGCTGGCTTCTCTTTTTCTTTTGTTTTCCCTAGGCGGAGGGAGTTTTTCAGGATGTTTTGAGGTAAAATTTTTCCTTAGGAAAATTTGTGGGGTGATGTGCCTTCAGCCACACTTCGTTTTTTGTTTTTTTTTTTTCTGGTCCTGAGTTTTAGTGCTGTCTGGGGATAAACCAAGATAACAACCATGGCTGTGTGTGCTACAGTGTCTACTGAATATCAGCTTCCAGGTCATTTTTTCCTATAGGACAACCTGAGGTATGGAGTGTAGTCTCTCAAGGGAGCCCGTGGATTCCTGAGGCTGAGTGTATCTCCTGGGGAACTCTTCCACTGAAAAGCAACCCCTTTGAGACATTAAGATTGTCTTCACACAAGTCCGCTTAGCTTCTAATTCATGGAAAGACATTGCTAGTTGGCCAATCAGATGCTGATATTGAGGGGAAAACAAATAATTTCTGCCCCCTGGATTCTCTAAGATTTGTGAAAGTGAAAATAGTATCTCAAAAACAAAACAAAACAAAAAGCCTGACCCCAGTGAGATGGTGCAAGAAGTTGCAAAGTAAAATGCACCTTGGCAGTCACTGAGGCGTAGTGCGATGTCTCCTGAGAGGGTTGTCATTGTGCACTTGAGTGAACAGAAGTGGGTGGGACAATGTCTCAAGTGATTGGATGGCCTGAGTTGACACGAGTCAGAAACATCTCTTTTCTAATCAGCACTGCCAATCCCTCAGTTTGTCACCTTGAAAAAACTGTGTGCACTTATTTTAACTTCAGTTTTGTTGTTGTTGTTGTTGTTGTTGTTGTTAAGACAGAGTCTTGCTCTGTTGCCCAGGGTGGAGTGCAGTGGCCTGATCTTGGCTCACTGAAACTTTCGCCTCCCAGGTTCAAGCGATTCTCCTGCCTCAGCCTCCCATATAGCTGGGACTATAGGCATGTGCCACCATGCCGAGCTAATTTCTGTATTTTTAGTAGTGATGGGGTTTCACCGTGTTCGCCAGGATGGTCTCGAAGTCCTGACCTCGTGACCCACCTGCCTCAGCCTCCCAAAGTGCTGGGATTACAGGCTTGAGCCACTGCACCCAGGCTTAACTTCAGTTTTTTAATTGCATTTTTTTAGTAGGATATAAAAGATGAGAAAATATTTACAAAGAGCATAAAAGAGGTGGGTTTCAGGAAAAAAAATACCTAATTATATATTTCATTTGTTAAGAATTCTCATTTACCTTTTTATTTCCCAGAATGGGTTTAGGAATCTTCTCAGATGTCTTTTATTTTACGGCTAGGTGATTTTCAATAGATTGCCATGGCTTAGCTTTTAGAATGCTACCAAGGAAAAAAATAGGGAAAAATCTCTCTTACTTTGGCTGTAGAAAAGGAATACATTTCCGTAAGAAAACATAGTATATAATTGATGAGTTATAGATTCATAAAGACATCATCAGTTGCTCTTTTTCAGGGTAAATTTGTGAAGGTGACTATCTGCGTTCTATATCCTATCTTCTTGGTTTCTGAATTTAATGCTAAATTTTATGAGATGAAACTTGGTACCTCCTAGAAGTGTTTTCATGTGACTAATTGTTTACTACATAATTTTTTTTTCCCACAAGTTGGCCACTCCTGGATACATAATTTTTAATGGAAATAATACAATAATAACATTTATTGTCTGAAAGGAATAGCTACTTTGGCTCTTCTTATTGAGGTGTGAAATGTAAGCACCTTAAAATTTTCTTTTTATATATAAACACTGTGTTAGTGTAATTTTGCTGGATTTTTCAAACACTTAGTTTCAAAAACCACCTGGATCACTCTGACTTAACAGCCTGAGCCCAGTGACTCCAAGCTAAGGCTAATATTGAGCCTGCAAAGGAAGGTTATTAAAGGCCCAGTTCTTTCTGGGGAGCCTCCCTTGCAGATGTCCCAGCCTGCTCACCCAAGCCATGGAAAAAGGCTTTGTTCTGAGAGAAACTGCAGAGCCCTGGAAAGCTGGGGACCCACAAGCAGATGCAGTTACAGGTAAGATGAAAGGGGATTTGGAGAGTAAAGATGAAGTTGTTTTTGTATTGAGGCAGGTTGTAGACTTTGTAAAATAAAGTTTGATTTATGTAAAAAATTTTAATTCTAAAGGGGTATTGCAACCGAAGGAAGTACCAACTATAACATCTTTAAGGATTGTCAAGTTTAGGCAGACAAAGCCTTTCTTTCTCTTATTTTCCTTCTCTGTCCCTCTCCTTCTTCCCTCCCTCCCTCCCTCCTTCCCTTTTTCCCTCCCTCCCTTCCTTCCTGCCTTCCTGCCTTCCCTCCTTCCCCTTTCTCTCTGCCTCCCTTCCTCCCTTCTGGAGCTTCACTCTTGTTCCCCAGGCTGGAGTGCGATGGTGAGATCTTAGCTCACTGTAACCTCTGCCTCCCAGGTTCAAGTGATTCTCCTGCCTCAGCTTCCTAGGTAGCTGGGATTACAGGCGCTCACCACCATGCCCAGCTAATTTTTGTATGTTTAGAAGAACGGGGTTTTACCATGTTGGCCGGGCTGGTCCCAAACTCCTGACCTCAAGTGATCCGTGGGCCTCAGCCTCCCAAAGTGCTGGGATTACAGGTGTGAGCCCTAGGGAAGAGCAAACAAGATTAGAAAGAAGGTGGGAGGGGAATGGCAAATGGAGGCTAAAAGATCAGATTCTGTATCAGAAAATATTTTACCGTGAAGTCACCATGTTCTTAGGAGGAACATAAAATGGAGTTGCCTGATGGCTCAGACTGAGGGTAGCTTAAAGTTAAGAAGCCTGTGGGAAGGAGATAAACTTATATAACTGTGATTAAGAAGTGTTTTATTTTGATCACAGGAAACAAATTTAGCTAATTTGAGAAAAAGAAGAAAATTCAGGGTCAGTGTCTTAACTTGGTGATAGAAAGAGAGCACCATCTACGGCATAATGAGAAGGGTGTTTCTTTCCATAAACTGTTTTGCAGAACACAAAGAATGAATTGTATTAATCACAGCTATTTTCTAGGATTATCTATGTGCTTCACCTTTGCCCATCTCTTTTCTTTGTCCTATGCACTTTTTCTATTTGACTTTTCCTGAGTTGTATTTTTTATAACAAACTGGTAAACATAACTGTAGTGTTTTGTTGAATTCAGTGTCTTGCTGAGTTCTGTGAGTAGCGCCTATCAAATTAGAACTTGAAGGAGGTTATGGAAGTTGTGGGGCTTTTTTTTGAGGGGGGGGAGACAAAGTCTAACACTGTTGCCCAGGCTGGAGTGCAGTGGCGCGATCTCGGCTCACTGCAGCCTCTGCCTCCCAGGATCAAGCAATCCTGTCTGAGCCTTC